CCAAATAAAAATGGAACAGGGGTTACCGGAACCTCATACAGTGTACAGTCTAGTGATTCCTCATTAAATGATAGTCCCTTGCTTAATTATGCCAGTCGCTTTTAATTAATCTCACTATTCCCAATTTACCACCAAACGGACTATTTCCTTTTCATTTCACCCATTTCCTTTCTGAATATGTCATATGTGACTTCAAAACACACATGTTCTATTCGCTTTTAATATCTGTGACTGAACAATCTAACGATTTTATAATGTATGTGTGAGTACTCTATTCTCTCTTCATGAATCAATTGTGCNCAATTGTGCATAAATATGTTTTGTATTCAACCAATCACTTCGTTTACTGTTGACTTTTTGTTATTCATTTATGGGACCGCGATTATAACACGGATATTTGTCGATAAGATATTGATTTTTCATAGAAAAAGGATGCATGATAGCAAGGTGACTAATGCCGTTGTCATTTCGTGCCAAAACCTGTTGACTTTTCGAAGAATAAAAATTGGTGAGAAAAATTAATCACGCTTGATTGTTTGGAAGATGAGAAGGTGAATCAATCGATACACTGATGCAGTTCTTATGCAAAGGAAAGTACTGGTACTCATTTAATTCATTGCGCAGATCAGATCGAAGTTGGTATAAAAAATGAAACAGCCCAGAACTGGGAACACGGATTTCAAGTACTCGATCCGGTTTGATAAACCAAACAATTAATCAAGTAGCTGTACTGGTATGCGGTGTTTCTGATTCGCACCGGGTCTGCAGCTGCAGAGTAAGTGCTAAATGGCGACTTTTTTGGTGATCTCATTAGATCGGGTTGTTCCATGGCTGGCAGGAACAGTCAATAAACAGCATAACTATGCCAATTAATTGATTTCAAAGAAGTCAGTAAAATGCAGGAGTGACATTTGCCTAACGGCAAGAACACTAAAGTGCCGGAGTCAATGTAATAGGAGGTGGATAGACGATATTAGTGTTAATTAGCGCTTCAGTTGACACACCAATTCCAGGGAATGGATGTTTGTTATCGATTTAGTTTTATTGGAAGAAATTGATTTATCTCGATTTGTTCGTTTTCTGCAGTGGAAAATAGCAATAAATCCAGGCTCGAGGATTGCCTCATCTGACTTAGCGACGTATCTATTCAGCTAATTGGACTGAACGCAAGCAGCTGGCGTGGTACATCAGCATGACATAGTGTAGTGTGTTGAACGAAATGGACATAGCTTTCATTGTTATCAGAAGCTGAAATCGACAAGTTCATGTGATTCGCCTTGAGAACTATTCCAATAAGCCAAGTGCTTAACAACACGCATTAGGTGCTCAGGCATCATAATGACAGGAATTCAATAAAATAAATACATTCACATCAAGCTCCTTGGCGAATGTCCACTTTGCAAAACAAAATAGTCGCTGTACACCTTTCCGGAAAATTAATCTCCAATTGAATCTCTGGAGTCCTTATACTTGCTGCCGTGTTACAAGTGAAACCCCATATGTCATTTTTTGAATTGAAATCAAATTGTAAAGGTTAGACATTTGTTAGCAATAAGAAAACTTCACTTTAGTACAAAAAGAGACATCAAAATAACACAACCGAGGTAGCTTTTACACATCATTTTGACATTAGTATATTTCACGCAATCTGGAAAAGATTCTCAATTGGGTCAAAAAGTTTTTCAAGGGTTTTATGACCCGATATTTGTCACATTGTGATGTGTAATAAATTTACAGCACTAGGTGTGCGAACAAATCGGGCGGGAGCGTGAGTGGACAATGAAAAGTCTTCAAAAGATATCACTGTTGAACAAAACTGACACAGGTCATTGTTCCTGGGAAAAAATTGCGAACAGATACCAGTTGAGTAGCGTTGCGTGATTCATATCCCGTATCGCTTTGCTGCGTTTCATTTGATGCTTGTAATGCATCATATTGAGGATTGCATTATTAGTTATTCTCTTCTATCTCGTATCTTTTTTCAAAAGTTCTTTGCAATTTCATAATAGTTTACTATTCATTCTTACATTACCCATCGAATAGGGACTTTTACACGGTGAAATTATTTGACTTGGTACGTTCCAGCAACCTTATACAAACGCAACTCGATTGTATGCGTCCAAGACGGAAGCTATTGACAATACAACATTCCTAGAATTCAAAACTTCAGTGGTTATGAGACAATATTTCTAAGGCATGAAGCGGATCAAGGTAATGCTGTGATTACAATCCGTGTTTTTTAAATTTCATTTCGTTAGTACGATGAAAATCAGCAGTTTTGATTAAAGATGTATTCTAACGTAAAATGCAGAACAATTTTTGATATTGTTCAAGTACAACGGCTATATTTTACCTTTCCATCCGACTTGATGTTTCAGGAACTCGTGAGCCATGTATACTAAGCACGATTCTTTCCTCGTATGCGCACTTAATAACACTATTTCTGATGCACCATATTTTCTTGCAAATTCGTGAAATTTGCGATGTTCACGGAACTCCCGAACGACGGATAGTGGTAAAGCTTTCACCTCGACCTAACAGATACACAACAAGCACAATCAATCATTTGCACACAGAATATTGTGATATTGTGTGGATCTCACGGTAAGTCAGTTCATCATTTTACTGATATTTCTATGAAATTCATCCATTTTTATCATTCAAAGTGAACCGCATCAGAAAAAGTGAATTTGATTCTACGTGTTCTTCGCAAGATTGATTGAAATTAAAATGTGTCAGAATTCAAACGTAACTGGTAACGTAGTACGGATTTAACGCAACCAAATACAATATTGGAGTCATCAAAAACGCAAACTTTGTGATACGAAACTTGAGAGGGTTATGATTTTACGAAGGACGCTCGTCCAACTCCACTCAGTCGCGAGCGCTAGTGAGCAGGGCATCGGAGTTGACAACAATTCCAATTTGCGCACCCACACAGACAACCGCGAAAAGTTTCTGATCCACGTGAAGAATTCTACACTGGTATTCGGTTTAGGCTCCTGTTAGGTAATAGCTTGAATGCTGCTTTCACAAACCACAATCTGAAAACAACTTCGGGTGCATTCTCCGATCGGTTCCACATTACATGTACAAACGCTCTTTTCAAAAGTGAGTTATCGTGCCGAAATGAGTAAGCTTTAATGCCAAATTTTCATGGATTAGAATGCAAAATCTGGAATGCTTCTATCCATGTTCGGTGCAACCAAGCACGTTAAGTATAAAGCTATTTGTGAATTCGGAATGTTACCACAATGACTTGAGTATGCCGAGAAAAAAATACTGCTGAGGGGTGCACCATACTCCCATGTTCATGCACAAAGGGATAGATTATTGTACACTGTGACTTTGAAAAGGGGTGTCTGAGCGTGTAGTAAAAGCAAAGAAGCCATATGAATGATCCATCAAGCTGTTTGTATGTCATAAATATTGCGTTTGGTGACTCAGGACGATAAAACTGACATAATTGGGACATCTTTCTGCGCGTTCTTCCGGTGGAATCATCGTTCAACTAACCAGTTAACGGTTGCATTACATTCGGAAAAGTGAAATAACAAAATGACCGGTGAAAAATCATTTTTTGGTGGCTGTATAATCTTTAGTTCTTTCATTCAGCACTGACGTAATCTCTCTTTTGCGCACGTGTTTGTATCTATTCGTGTGAGGTGGACTGAAATAAACAGTTAGAAAATGGGTGCAGCAGTATTTTTACGGGTGAGAATTGGTTCGGTTACGAATCCACAAATTCACTGAGATATCGAGTGCATCCACCTAGCCTTGGGTTTTCTAAATCAAAAACTTACTGAAGAACGCTTTTTGTTCGATACCATCTCAAATTAATCAACAAATTTGAAAGGTAGACATTAGAAAACGAACAGCTGGCAGGAAGCAAATGAACTGCATCGGGTTTTTCCCGATTTTGTAACGAATGTACAGGAAATACGGTCATTTGGCTTTGGTAAGGCTGTTTGTTCTTAAAATCAACTGCCACGATCGTCTTCGACTCAACCCTTCAAGCGTAGTGTCCGAGAGACGAATAAAATCCAACGGAAGTGGCAGATTTTACGCTGTGAAAACTAGACTGGAAGTGTCCTCCAAAGCTGTATGAAACTTGACATTTTGTACTGCTAAAAACGAAAATAAGAAATCCCGCAAAATATTAGAATAAAAAAATCCTTGAGGCAAACCCATCGCCCTTCGCCCTTTGGATGCCAAAAGACTATTTAGTTACCCCTTTCGGTGGAACAATGTTTATGCGCCGCAATATCAGGTGATAATCAGACCGTGCTCAAAAACACCAATATGCGCGATCATATCACGTCACTTATCTCCACAATAAGTTTCACACCTAGCTGAAACGAGATATGTAGTGTATGAGAAAGAGACAGACAGTGACGTTTTCTGCTTTGAGGTCGTCATTTGATCTGCTCGGTCATTTTGTTCTCCTTTAAAAACCAATCTTTCGCTTTACGCCATTAACCTCTGTAGTGGTATTTTGATCTGCCTTTTATCACTGAAAGAATGAGTGTTCTCGTTTCTAGCAATAAAGGTGGATTAAATATCATATGATCAGTTCGAAATTCGAATGCCATCGGAAAAACATCGCTCGATACATAAAGAAATAGTCTGATTTAAACGAAGTAATCAACAATCACTTTTTACATGAGTTGGTGTCTCATGCACTTCCGCTGATGCCACCGAGTCGATTTACGGTAGAATAAACGATTGAGAGACGATATCGGATGGCATTCAGCCAATCAGATCTCCATTGAACCAGTGTACAACATCAATCGTACAATGATGTCAGTCTCTTCCGTACGTGGCTTTTGTGTGTCGGAGCGTTGTGTCGCGAGTTTCCTGTCAGGTGCAAAATTTAAAATTCCATTTTGAGACATAAAATATGATCTTGTTAAAATTTGACCTAAGAACTACACTGTTGAGACTACAGCTAATAAATAACATCTTGGAAAGAAAGCTTAATGCGAGATAGGATAATATAGCCACGCTATAGGTAATTTTGTTGTGTTTGGATATCATTTTGAATAAAACAGTATAGCAAAGAAGACTAGCTTTCAACGATTTTTTCGTTTTCTGGCGAAAACAAAACAATAAATAAATAAACTAAGCTGTCCGGTTAATTGCCAATCAGACGTTTCGCCTTTTTTTGGCAAGATTTTTCCCTGGGAGTACTATGCAATCCATTAACACTACTGTCACTTGTGGCTACATTTGGTCAGGACATTTAGTTCAGCCGAACCACGCCAACCTGGAGCCAGACGCGATGTATCTCTTCTCCTTCGTCCATCCATCTATCCATATTTTTCCATCATTTGCATCTCATTGAAACCTTTGGGTTCACGGAGTTTGTTTTTCTTTTGCATTACAGGTCTGTACTGCAAATCCCCATCCGCAAAGGGCCATTCGGCTAGAGATTCCTCACCGTCCCGTGAATTGCTATCAGCCGCTGTCTGTCATTCCCGCTCATCCCGTTATTTCTCGTTCGGATCTATTCGGAAGTGATCAAGTGTGTGAGGGGATGGGGATATATGACAGCGTAATGTTGTGTATTTCATTAGGCCGAACGAGTCCAGATTACACTCGCGTTACAACGAGTCAAAACTAAATCCAACAACACAAAAAAAGGCTGATAAGCAATCCAAATTAAAAAAAAAACGGTGACGGAAAGACGGAGTCATGTAAGCAAAAGCTGATCGGAAATTCAGGTCAGGCTTAAGGGTGTGTTTATGTTAATAGTATTCTTGAACAAGATATGATGTAAAGAAATGATCAGGATTAATTCGAACTGCCAAAACTATCCTTATTCAATGTATATATCGGTTACTAATTTACACTTTTATGATTGCATTTTCAGCAATTCGACTCGTCTCGGTAGAATAATAGACGTTTGTGTATGAGTTGTTCCGAATTCATTTCAACTTAATATTGAGTTAACGTAACTTGTCCCAGCATTATTTCATCAAAGTCGCTAAGCCTATGCACGGTTCAAATCTCTAGCGATGTTTAGGTGATCAGCGTTCCGCACAATCAATTTTCAATGTTCCCTGAACAATCACATTGTGCCATGTTCTCCTGATACACTTTATTGATGTGTGTCATTAGTATCCAGTTTGTTTGTCTATGGTGGATTATATTTCATTTTCTGCTGCTAGTATAGGAACATCGAAATCTCTACTTTCTACATAACAGGTAATCGAGAGTGAATCTTTGTTTTACAACCAGAACAGAAAGAGATATTACAATATAACAACAATATATGCGTTCAAAATGACGTGAAACCAGCCAACCAAATATAGCACAAATTGTAGGAAGGTTGAGTTTTATAACAAACGATGTTTCGAAAAATATACAACTTTTCAAATCGCAGTTCACTGGGTATTCCGTCTAAATTTGACAATCCATATATTGTAGTAGAGTCAGTCCGCCTGACACGAGTGCATCGTGCGTGTGCGGTAGTAGACACCATTTGTCAACCAATCAATTGAACGTTCAAACAATCAATTCGGCCACAGCCAAAGTGATTTTCAGAGAACACCGAAGGTAAGATATTGAAAATTGTGGTGAACAGATTGTATCTCTACGTAACATTGTTTAGTCACAATAGTATTTTGCACCCCTGGCACACGGTTTATGCATCTAACTGAAAACAATACCTCTAAAAGGATTATTTATGGTTTCATCAATAACGTGGAGTCATAAATAATTTCTATATTAAAAAAAAATAGAAAACTAGCTTAGACAATTGGAAGAAGGTGGCTCAGGATAATAAACTTTAACGCATCTTATTATTCGTGCTCCTGTTGTGAAAGAATAACCCGAACCAGCTTTCAAACCTGAGGGAAGCTGGCACAAAAACGGTTCGCCGTTAAGCTGCAAAAACATAACGAGTTAAATTCCTCTTATTTGTATAAGATCTTAGAAGTGATACTTTATATGAAGCGATTCAGCTAACAAGTGTGTTAGAACAAGGGGTTATTATGGTTGACACTGGAATATATGATCATCACGGAATAATGGAATCCAGATTGTCATTTATTGGAGAAATAGTGTGTGCAGTGTTCAAATCTTCTGTTCGCTATCACAAAGTGGTTCTCAATCAAAATTAATGAAATATTTCGTTTCTGTCGATGATTAACTTTTTTGGGTTGGTATTTCCTTCTTTCTTCTCAACCCCTCCCGAGTTTGTAGGTTAGATTTGTTCAGAGGAATTAAGTGGGTATGAGCTCGTCTGACTGTCTGTGTCTCCACTGGCATTTGGATCAAATAGACCCCGTGGGCAAAATAATATTCATGTTAGTCATAATCATACTTGTTTAGTGTTTTTATGTTCAAATCCAAATACCTTCCCTTAAATATCCTACCTTTTCGTAGCTCGTGGAACCCTCTGGATGACCTATTGTCAGTGATCATCTGTTGCTCTTGTACATAACTTTTATGCTCATCTTTCCCGGTTCATTAGAGTTTTACTTCTGCAACACCCTACTGTAGTGTTACGTCATAATCATCTTGTAATACCCAAAAGAAATTAACTTTTTCACTCAATATTTTGTGAACATCTGCAAACGGACAAGTTCATATAACTCATGATTTTCTTGGCCAAAAGGAATAGATTGATGTAAATGAATATCGGCTTGTATTTGTGTTCAAAATCTTAGAAACCTGTGTTTTCACACTATAAAAGATAGAAATGAAATCCTATGTTAAATTGTATTCTGTTTTGGTTTCATCTCTCTCTCGCCCTTGTTCGTGTTGGCTCTGGTTTCGAGATTCCAGATACCACGCATAATTTGAAATTCATGATTCACACAAAAATCCATGTCAGAGTGGCACCAGCTCCCATGCACTAGAGAAATTACTGTTGAAAAAATCGGTTGAAAGTCGATTCTCCTTGCTAGGATGAACTGAATTCCAGTTCACTTGTTCGCTGAGCTTGGCAATTTGTATGCAAACATTTCATCAACAGCCGAGGTGACATTGTCGCCAGTTTACCCACACTGGCGATGTCACCTCGGCTGGTGAAGAAAAGTTTGCAAGCAATTTTCCAAGCTCGGCGAACAGGCGAAATGGAAGAAACTGCTGTCGTTTGTTAATTGCCAACTATGGTTTTCTCTTTTATGTCAATGACTGAGCGACTAATTAACTTGATTTTATGTAAACCTTAATTCATTTTTGCGCAGATATTATCGACCAAGAAGCAGCAATAAATGTTTGGTTATGTTCAATACAACCAAAGTAAGATGTACGATTCTACAGGTGACAGACTGTTCATCATTTTGAAAAGACACCGTGTCGCGGTTGTTCTTGGCTCCAGCCAAAACGCATTGCAAGTGAGGACATGGCGATTATTTATTTACGATCGTCTCACGTGCCATCGTCAACCGACTATCACGTGAGAAACGAAATTGCATGTTGTTCGGTCAATTGAACTCAGAAAACGGTACTCGAAAGTGAAGCGCATATCCATAGTGATGTGAATTCCAAAACCAATTATCGATGTTCAGAGTAGTTCAACCATCAGGTGCAATACAAACACCTTATCAAACAAAGTACAAACAATATGGTCTGAAAACCTTCAATAAGTTTAGCTTGATTAATGATTTTAAATTAACAGATTATGAGACTTCTTCACTTAGATCAACTCAGTGTGGAGCTTTGAAGTACTTGTTCGCAACATTGCCCGGTTACACGCTTTATTTTCACTATATGCATAGATTACGGTCTAGTGTGTAGGTCACACCGGTTCAGCTGTTCTTCCGGGAAAACCGCTCAGCGCACTGAAATGGTAAATCTTTATAACATACACTACAGATGTAAGTGACTGAATTATCAAGCAGATATTTCTGATATAATTTCATTAGGTTTGGTGTTAGTATTCGTTACTTTTTGCCAATGTTTTACATGCATACATCATTTGGGTTTTTATGGTTTTAAATCGAATTTTTAGCCGCGCGCTGACTTGAAAAAGAAACATGTAAATATGAATGAAGCAAGAGCTGAGAAGTACATAAATTTGTCATATAGGATGTTGTACAATCAATCATGATGATGGTGGAGCGACACATGCAGGATTTGTGCATACTTTATTGCGTGCTTTTCAGTGATAATTAATTAATCCGTTAATTGTATTAGGAAACTGCAAAATCATGGTATTTACTCTATCAATAACGGCCCTTCTAACAATAAATATTATTGGTAAATCAGGGGCCGGTAAAGGCAGATTGGATCGATGGGATCTCGAGGGACAATACTAGCACTAAACCTTAAGTTTACCTGTTCGAATCCGGGGGTTAGGTAATTCTTAAGTTCCGCAATACAGATGGGTTATCAAAAGAATAAAATAAATTTTTAGTGTTTTATCAACACTGACAAATTCCATTCCCAAAACTATTTCGAGTTAGCGTCCTGATACTGACTTTTTACTTATCGATTGTGACGCGTTTCAACCGAGAAGTAAAGTAGTGGCCCAAATCATGTCTGTCACTTAGAGAAAGTAGACGTATGTCTCACGTAAGTTGAGGTATCAGGTGATCTTAAAATTTTGATTCATTTGGCAGCTGCCTGATTAAGTGATAGTAAAAGCAATCACTACATAGGTCATTCTAACCTGAATCATCTCTACCATTGAACGCCAAACGGTTGCAAACCTCTAAAAATACAACTGCCGTCGTTGGTAATCTTTTAGTGAAATCTTGGAGAAATAACCAAAACCGAATAGAGTAGACGAGGTAGAGAGATAGCTATTCTTCTGCTTGAAAGTTTTGCATGCACCCTAGAGTGTGTAGTTGCGAGTAAGACGAATGATTAATGATTGTCTGGTGTGGCGGTGTTTGCACCGAATCTAAATCATGCTATAGAACCAATGAATCAGGTATGAACAGGGAATACATAGAGGAGTTTTTTTATCACACTGTGCAACTTCGCATGTAAGTTTTTATGTCATCAGTGAGGGAACATGCATGGAAACCGTCAGCCCTTTATTTGGTGATACTCGGAGCACGAACCTAAAACGTGCTCATCACATGGTGGTACAGCGGCGAACATTGTCTTCTGGCGAATTTCGATAACGATAGAAAGACCGCGAATTCAATTAAAAATATGTGCTTGATCAATGTATTCGTTAGCGAATAAGCAGCAGTTCCCAAGTTCAACATTTTGGGCTGATAGCCGAGTAGTCGAAAACCAATTGCTTTTGCAGATCCCGCTAGAGTTCTTCTCTCTTTCGATGAATGGGAGTTTCAATATTCTCCTGAATCAAAAATCAATGTATGTGTTCGCAACACACGAAGTTGTTCATTTTAATTGGTTCCGAACATTTTTGTGGGAGTTCTTCAATGTGTAACCCTCCACCATCCATAGGGATAGTACGGCTTTTGAATTCGGCCTTGCCTTTTCTAACATCGGGCATTAGTTCGCGGTTTTGTAGTGGAAAATTGCGTTATCTTCTCAACATATTTTATCGGATAAGTTTGTTTAGTTTTGAAGGTTACATCTCATCTTACGGC